GGCTGGGACCTGAAGATGAACTTCTGGACGAACGCCATCAGCCGGTGGTGCCTGCAGACGCGCACCGTCGCCTTCACCCTCGAGGACGTCCGCCGGGCCTTCCTCCGCCGCGACGGCCACCAGCTCCCCCACCCTGACTGCCTGGTCCTGGTCCTCTCGACGATGAAGCGCCGAGGGGCGTTGATGACCGACCAGGAGCTGCCGGTGGCGAGGAACGCCCGCTCCCTGGGCCGCTCGCTGCTCAGCTGGTCGGTGAACTCGCTGCTGCTGAAGCCGCTCTCCGTTGGCTGGAGTCTGCTAACCAGCTCCAATGCTGCTCGAGCTGACAGTGCNACGGCCACCAGCTCCCCCACCCTGACTGCCTGGTCCTGGTCCTCTCGACGATGAAGCGCCGAGGGGCGTTGATGACCGACCAGGAGCTGCCGGTGGCGAGGAACGCCCGCTCCCTGGGTCGCTCTCTGCTCAGCTGGTCGGTGAACTCGCTGCTGCTGAAGCCGCTCTCCGTTGGCTGGAGTCTGCTAACCAGCTCCAATGCTGCTCGAGCTGACAGTGCTGACAGTGGACAGTACTCCTCTTCAAGTATGTCCTCCACCGCTTCTTCTACTTCTACTCCGACTAGTCCTCAAGAGGAGCAGCCACTGGCGTCCATCACCGCCGAGACGAAGCTCTTCAGCCGTGAGACGCTGGACCTGCTGGTGGAGAGCGTCGAGGGCCACCTGAAAGGCCTGACCAGCACCTCCTCCTCGCCCATCAAGCCGGGCTCCTGCCTGCGCTACCACCACTTTACCGCCCAACTGAACAAGACCCTCTTTGCCGGGCGGCCACTCGACGAGGCCAGCTTCGCCGTAGTCATTGAGGTGGCCGAGGCGAAGACGGGCGCTCGGCTGAAGACGATGACCCTCGATGATGGCATTCGCATCGTCAAGATCAGCGGCGGCGGTGAAAGTGCTGCTGGCAGTGAAGCAGCCATCAACCAGACGGACATTTCGCTGATCAAGCTGGAGGCCACTCGGGAGCTACTCGAGGCGGAGGTGGACCGCCTCTCCGAAGAAGCGGACGCCCTTCGCGAGGAGGCCCGACAGGCACTGGCCGGCCGAAGCAGAGAGAAGGCGCTGCTGCTGCTGAAGCGGAAGAAACGGCTGGAGGCGAAGATCACCGCCAAGGACACCGCCATTGACAACATCGAGGCCATCTACCAGCAGGTGCTGGACACGCACTCAGCGACGGCCATCACCCGCGCCCTCGCCTACGCCAATACCGTCCTGAAACAACGTTCCGGCGTCGTGCTCTCCGACCTGGAGGACACCATGACGGCGATTGAGGAGACGATGAGCGACGTGGCCGCCCTCAGCTCGGAGATTAATCGCCCGCTGGCCACTGGAGGTGACGCTGGAGTGGAGCTGGACGCCGAAGAGGAGCTCGATCAGATGCTCAAGGAGTTGGAATCGGAGAAGAAGGAAGCCGTCATCCTCGATCGACTCGACCAGCTGAAGATTGTCGATGAGGAGCTAAGCTCAGGAGAGAAGGAGGAAGGCGTTGCTCAGACTCTCAAGAAGCAGCTCGCAGACCTTCAAGCCTAGAGTTGTCGTTGTTGTTGGCGTTTGACTTTTGTTCCCCCCCACCCCATCCCTTCTTGCCAAATCACTAATTTTACTTCCTTCCTCCCCTGACTGCTGCTTTTACCCAATTGGATACCCCTCTTTATTTATTTTATTTTATTCTGGTGCATTTTCTGAGAATGACCTGTGTAATAAACTAAACTTTTTAACTAGCAATTGTCTGAAAATTTTTAGGAATTATTACTGGGTCAAAAGTCTTGTTTCGTGATGATCCGGGTCAGACAATCTGTCTAATGTTTTTTTTTGCATTTTCTAAAAAATTTCCATTGGCCACCATGTGGCAGTAAGTTTTGGAGTAGTAGTGGCCACCCGGTGCACTTTCCTGTGAAGTGAAGAAGGAAGAAGTGAACTTGACTGGCGAAATCTTTCTGGAAAAGGGGAGGGCTTTGAGAATGGCAGTCAAACGCAAGAACTACTGCTACGGGCGCAAGCTGCTGCAGTGACTGCGTCTCCTGTTGCAGTGCCGGGTATGAGTCAGTGAGGAAAAGGGCAGCCAGGCCTGTGGAGTCATCTCTCAGGGAACAGACAGACGAATTGCCGAAGTAGTGCTTAGCCCCACTTCCCTCCTCTCTCTCTCTCTCTTCCATTGCTGCTCAACCTTTTTGCCATTTTCCCGAAAGAGAAGCTTTCCCTCGCTTGC